TATTATATATAATATTAATATAATATAATATTATTAATATATTATATATATAATATTAATATAACTATTATATATAACAATATATATCTGATTTGTTGTATCTTTTTTATATTTTATTTTTACGAAACATTTTTGGAAGATTGTTAGTAAATAAATATTTGTAAAAATTGTATTAAAATAATATTTTGTTCAACAATGAAATAACATGATTTAAATATACAGAATGTTTAATCAGATTCGTGCAAGAATCTCACGTACGTCTACGTGTTTGCATTAAAATAATATTTTATGCATGTGTTAGTAATATGAACGTCTGATAACTCTGTATAAAATTGTTAAATGCACGAGTAATAATACAAAAAAAAAAAGTCTTTATAGAAAAATTCTATTATAATATATTTCAAATTGAAATCTTTGATAACAAAAGATATGTTTGTTTATGTGTATAAGAAAGTAAAAGAAGATTACTAAAGTTATTTTTCCTGATCATTTCAGAACCATTTTGTCCTATGACTTTCGATGGATGGTCTTGTTGGCCAGATACACCAGCAGGATCTACAGCTTACATTCCCTGTCCTGATTTTATTACAGGATTCGATGCATCCTGTAAGTACACTTTTAATTCTTATTTTCAATTTAGAAATATTACATTGTGTTAACATTACAAAGTAATTTTTTTTTATCTAAATGATAAAAAGATAGTTATTTAAACCTATTTTGTTTTTATTTATTATAATAATTAATACATTTCGTATGATATTTAATATTTTAATTTGATTATTTCAATTTAGGTTAATTCAATATTATTATTTTAATAATATTATTTTATAAAAATTTTATTATTATATTTTATTATAATTATAATAGATGCTAAGAAAAATAATGAAACTATTTTTTGTTTTTATTTATTATAATAATTAATATATTTCGTATGATATTTAATATTTTTATTTGATTATTTCAATTTAGGTTAATTCAATATCTTATTTTAATAATATTATTTTATAATTATTTTAATAATGTAATTTTTTTTATTATTTTATTAATATTATAATATATAGATGCTAAAGAAAAATTAATAATTAACCTGTTTTTTTTTATTTATTATAATATTTATATATAATTTTATTTATTAAAACAATTTGGCATACGATCTAAAATATATATATATATATATTATTGTTTTGTTTAAATTAAACAAGGAAAGAAATATAAAAGACAATATAATTATACAAAAATAGAAATATTTAATAAAAAATAGAACGTAACAATCGTAATTATAAATAGAAAAATTGTTTATCACTTATTTTTTTTTTTTATTACTAACATTTATATAACTCGTATATTAGAAAAATAATATCACATTGTACTCTTTTCAAGAGTATACAAACTAAAGAAACAAAATTCTTAATACTTTAAACAAATGAACAAAATTTCGTATGTGAGTGTATGTATGTATGTATGTTTTTTTATTATTTTGTATTTTTATTTCTTTTTTTTCATTTTATTTTTTTTTTCAATAAATTTATTTATCTTATTCGCATATTACAATAGAAAAGTCATCATTTTTTCTTAATATTACAACTTAATATTTAATATTTAAATTAACAATACTTATACATATATATTTCATACATGAAAAACGTATTGCAAATGCTCTTAAAAAAAAAAAAAAAAAAAGCAAAAAAAAACAAAAAGAAAAGATGACGACGAAGATTCGATTAAATTTCATGATTCCTAGTCAGAATCTACTATTTTATGCAATGTACGCATTTGAAAATATAACAAACATAAAATTTCTACATCTTTGTATGATTCAAGTTTTTCCACAATTTCACAATGTTTATCGTATTGTTCTTTGTTCCTCCATGGTAATGGTAATAATTGAACAGCCGTTAATTTGGACAAATTACAATTATCATTCATCAATAAACGTTTTATATATAAATAATAAATTTCTGCATTATCCACGCAATTTGGAAAATTTTCATAAAAATATTGAATACAATTTGCTAATACAAAAAACGTACATTTGTTTTCGTAACACACTTCAATCAATTTATTACAAATATTTTCAATAAATTCATCAGGCGTTACTATAGTATATTTCGTCATTATTAACATTATATAATTCCAAATATTTGTATATATTGGAATTTTGTAAAATATACGAATTATTTCATCGATTATTTGTCCAATCGTAATTGGATTTATTTTTAAATCTTTCAATTGAAACATATGTTTTGTAATTTTTTCTAAAAATTCATCGTATTCATGATTTTTTTTATTTTGTAACATTGCTTCGTACCATTCTTTGCAAATACGTTCGAAAACCATGCCAAATGTTTTGATCCTTGACAAATATTCGTTAGAATTTGCAAACATATATTTCGATATGATCAAATCTATCATCAGATCATTATTTAAACAATTTTCTTGAAATAAATATTTTTCCGTGAAATTTAAGATAATTTGACCGTTCAAAATACTCGCATAATAATCACTGAAATAATGACGATGAAACGATCGTTCTAAAAAGTTCATAGCTTTTTGTTGATTCTTCGAATTACCATTGTCTATTGTTTTCATTAACATCGATAACATTGTTTCTATTAATTCATTGATATATTCGATTGGTAATACATTGGTTTTAATAAATTCTATTTTACAATCGGACCAATCACTGTCGTATTTAAATGTATCCATGCAATTTTTAAACGTACGCCATGTTATTTGTCTAGGATTATTTTTAAATAATTTATACGACGAATCAAATATTATTCCACGTATCGACGAATGTTCATTTTCATGATTCCACTTAAAAGTATAATAATGGGCACATTTTTCTATAGTTTCGGCTAATGTGTATATTCTGATGACATTTTTTTGATCGGTTATCTTAGGATTTGAATTTGTTTCCAAATAACGTTGTACCTTGTTCAATGATGTATTTACACAAACGTTAGTAATAACATTTAATATATTCAAAACTAATACTAATTCGTATTCGTAAAAATTCTGAATAATTTCCAACGATACAGGTGGATTTGTTCTATGCATACCCCTTAACACATCGTTCAATAATTTAGTCGTTTTAGTATCGTTTACACACGTATTATCAGGTTTTATTAGAATCTTTTGCACATTCTCATTCGACAAATATTCGTTAGAGATATTTTGATAACCTTGACCGTCCAATATGATTGCCATCAGATAAATGTAAAAAGAATGATTGTCCAACGAATAACGTTTTTTAGCTTCATCTATAAATACCATTGGTAATTTATCGTACCAACGACACATAATAAAAGGACGATGTAATGAACCTGAATTACGATATTCCAATTTATAAGCAGTATCCAAAAATAATTCAATTTCGTTCAACAATTTTTCTGGATTACGTTTTAACATTTGAACTAATTCCTTATATTTGACATCAGGTTTTTTCGCGACAGATTTGTTTAATAATTTTTCGTATAATTCTGGATCTTTCTTTAAACATTCTTTTAAATCCTCCAAATATCTCTTTGCCTTTTCGTTCAATTTATCTTCATTCTTCACGAAATATTCAACCTGTAACCAAAGCCACGTTGATTTCCATTTTTTAAATGGCTCACGTAATAATTTTTGTTTCAAAATTTTCTTTTTTTTATTTATATAGGGGGCATATTCGTCATCCAATCGGTACATATTTTTAACGAGATCAAGTACAAAACGAATTCTAATTTTATCGTTGTTCCATAACGCGAGATTTATTTCTACCTTTAAATTCGAATCATCGTCAGAATTTGATTCCAACAACCATATTTTTTGTTCGCTTGAATTTGATGACAGTGTTTGTTCTTCCATGTTTGAATTAGAATTATTATCTGTTTCAACATTCAATTTTGTATTATCTTCATTTGTATCGATATTTGTATTAAATTCTTGTTGAACTTTTGTAAATAACTTTTCAACACTATCAAGCATTATATTGAAAAACAAAACTTCATCTTGTGGTTCACCAATGTATCTGGACCAATCATACTCATACTTATCACGTAATATAGTTAAATAAATATGTATTAGTACTTCAGCTACTTTATAATTAGATATATTTTTGTATTTAAAGAGAATCGATTCTTTCAATATAGTCGGATATTGATAAATGTTAGTTAACATAAGATTGGAGTATACATGAATGATCAATTTATCGATACACGACCATTCATTTAATTTTAATTCAGACCATTTATATATATATGCAAAACGTCTGAAAAATGTTATCCAAAATTGTTGTATCTCATTTTTGTGCCTATTATAAACGTGATTTAAAAATTGACACAAAGCAGCACTGTCCTTGTTTATTTTACAATTATAAATCATTTGTATCACCAATGCTACCCTATCTTCTGGATTATTAGTTTCGTTTATTTCTTTTTTGATTTTTTTCATTAATACTCTAGTCGGTAAATAAGAATCATAATTCTTCTCATAATCGTTTACGCTATTTCGAAAATGTAACTTTAATGATGGTAATATATCAATTCTTATATTTGTTGGTAAATATGGTAAAAAGTCCATGGTTACGTTTGTAAGTTTATCGAGAAATTTTTCTTTATAAACAATTTCATAAGATTCACTTATTAATTTGTATACTTTATCTTTAGGATAATACTTTAAATATCTAATTACAACATCTGTATTAAAATCATCGATATCTTCCGGTAATAATTTAGGAAATATAGTATTCATTATAGTTTCACTTATCATTTCAAGTTCTATAAATTTGATCCATTTGCATGGATCTTCTTCCAATATACTTTTATTATTTTTACCTCTTTTTACAAGATGTTGAGCATATTTTTTGTTCAATTGTAAAGTACTATTAATAGATGAACCCCATGTTTCGATAATGTCGTAAAACAAATTATGATTTCTTTTGATCAATTTAGGTAAAAATTTGAAATAAAGATTGATATCCTTGTTACTAACGACACTTGTTTTTTTATTATCTCGAGATTTGATTAAATTGAAATAATAAATGACTACGTTGGGTTTACGTAAATATAATCTCTCGACTTGACTCAAGGATAAAATAATCCTATGTTGTAATATTTTATTTTTAAAAAATGTATCGGTGCATGCAAACAACAATGGTAAGGAATAACTTGCACCATAATTTTCTTCAAATACGATGAAAAATTGTTCCGCCATTTTTGCATTCTTCAAATTACGTCCCAACGATTTAACTATTTCACGTCTAGTTTTTAATGTAACGTACGGTATAATATTTTGAAAAAAATATTCCGGATTAATGATATTTTCATTTGTACCTTGAAAATACCATCTACATTTGAGCACCCTCGTTGTTATCGCAGTGTCTTCCGATTTTAACAATTCCGTTATCATATCGTAACTTTCTATCATGTTTGCAATGATTAATTTGTAAAATGGTTGCAAATTTATTTCCGTATTTTCCCATATCTCTGAATTTAATTCCTTCGTTTCCACATTCAAATACATTTTAATATGTTCCATTATGGTTTCATACTTTTGACTAGGATTAATTCCTTTGATAGCTTGAATTGCATCGAGGTATGCTGATACACCGGCCATCTTTTTTTCTTTTCTTTTCTTTTCTTTTTTTTTCTTTTTCTAAGAGAAACAAAATAAAAATAAAAAATACAATTTTTAATTAGTGTACTATTTTTATTTGCTAACATAATATTAACCAGTTAAGCGTGTTTGACGACTATATCCGTCATGCGTAAAAGTTTTTCTTACAATTTGATGTTTAAATTGTAATTTTGGCGAAAACTAAATTATATTCGTAAATTTGAATATGTTTAAAATGTTTAGAGGTAAAAAAACAAAAACAAAAAACAAAAAAACAAGTCAAGAATAAATTTTTCACTTCTATAAATATTCGATTTTTTTTTTCCTCTAATTTTTTCCGTTTATTATGTATAAATATATGTGCATATTAAGAAACTGTGTGTACGTAACTAACAAAATTGTTCATTTTCTAAAATAAAGTCGTCTTTTTGACTATCCAATGTTTTAACAGCGCCACTCTTATTCTGTGTTTGACGACTATATCCGTCATCGCTTAATTATCGCGACACACACCAGAACGCACTACTCTGCGCACAAATCGCCACACTTAACTGATTAAATTTTATGCAAAATTTAAGATGAAAATAATTGAAGGGAATTATTTGAATAATCGAAGAAACAGAAAAAAGAAGTGGTGGTGGTGGTTGGGTGAGCGGTGGTGGGGGAAGAGGATAAGATTTATGCTAAAAATTACGTGCGTTTCTTTCTTTTCAATAAAAAAAAAAAAAAAAAAAAAAAATTACGTGCGTTTCTTTCTTTTCAATAAAAAAAAAAAAAAAAAATAATAATATATGTAAATGTAATGTATATAATGTATATAAATGTACACACTTTATATTAGAAGACGATAGTGTGTTAACGTTTCACAATAATTCCATTCCTCGTGAATGATGACTAATAATATTACACGTCAGGCATTATACAACCTTGAAAATTGCGTCCTTAGACGCAATAGTGACAAAAGAACAGTAATGAATGATATTATTCCAGTTTTAACACACTTAACTATAACTTTATCTTCTTCTTCACATTTAACATGAATTTTGTTACTTTTAAGGTTCAAATTACTTTTTGTTAAATCAATTTACACGAGTATAATATTAAATGTATGAATGTTCTCTTCTGAAAATTTACACGTTACTTCTTCACGGTTCTATTTCTATATCTAAACACTAAACAGATATATATATATATATATGTGTATGTACAAATGTATATAAGAAACCATACATACCTTTTTTCTGTTCGTTGTTTTTATTGCTAAATTGTGAGTTAGGGTTTAACATAAACACCGATTGGAAAACAAACTAACCAATCACTTAGCAAGTTCTCTTATGACTCTCGTAAGGTTCTAACGATTGCAGCGACTTTCTGTGGTTATTTTTCGTAACTAATTTCATCCATCTTACCTCAGGGATTCTCAACTTCATTTATTCTACATTTGATGAAATTCTTTTTGAATCATTTTGATTATCAAATGTTCAAATTTAAAATCATGTTGAAAAAAAAAAAAGAAACCTAATAATTTTCTTATTCTTTTTGTATTTTATGATAATTTTATAAACTAAAAATACTCAACAATAATAAAATATACGTATCATCAAATACGTACGATTCTTAAAGGGTAATATCACTGTAGAATTTTCAAAAAATCGATTTTTTTTTGTTTTTAGCTTAAAGTGTACTTTAGATATCTAAAAACATTATGAACATGGTCCCGAAGCAAACAAAAAATTGTTAACATGGTGAAATCTTATTTTTACGAAGCGCTTCAAAGCGCCTCGAATAGTGATGACAAAACTTTAAATGCGTTTTTCTCGAAACTACATTTTTAAAACTGGACAGACTCAGAACTCGAGCATTATTTAAACCGATTGACTTGAAATTTTGAAGATAGTTTAATAGTTGTATTATCTACATAAGTACATATCCGATTTTTAATTGAATGTAAACTTTTCATTTTATAAACAATTATCTACATTTTTTTTTCGTCGAAAAGTCGACTTTTTTTTAATTCAAAATTACGACATTTTCACAAAATTTGACTTAGAGAAAAATCCCTATGTACTTCTCAAGATAATAAGTACATAGATTAAGAATTTCTTTTGTTTTTTATTCTAGGTCTCATAGTTGCCCAGATATGAATCCGCCCGCCCATTTTAGTAAAAAAAAAAAGAAAAAACTGGGTTTTGTTCAGTCACGAATATTGACTATGCCATTTTCTATCTAAAATCAATCAAAATATTTCTTTACATAGTTCAATATATGATTAACCAACCCTCAAAAAAGAAATTCTATACCTCATTTAGTTTTCGCAACAACAAAAATTCCCAAATAAAGGCTTTTATTTCAGGCTCTATAGTGGTGTTACCCCTTAAATAGGATCGTTAAATTATAATATTAAATTTATTTATAATTTAAATTATAATTTATTCTTCGTCTTTGGATTCCATTCAAATCGTTGAACACCTTTCGGTATACTTTCCATTTTTAATTGTTTATTTATATTGAGATAATCGTACGTTTTGGAATTTATTTCCAAAGGTTTCCATAAGACTGGTACAAGTTTCGTAGTTTTTGGTGTTGGATTTCTACGATTAAAATTATTATAATTATAATAATAATAATAATAATAATAATGTATATAAAATTAACAATATTTTATTTATAGGCATGTGTATGTGTTAATAAATAATTAGAATGAAAATATACGTACCCAGTTTTAGCAAAATCAGTCCACAATTGTGTAACACATTCCATTATTTTGTAATTTTGTGTACCAGGACGATGGGGTTTTAAATTTAATAATGGATAAATTGTTCCATAGAAAAAATAATTCAATTCGTCCGAATGAGTGGCTCCTAGTATTATTGAAAAAAAAAAAGAAAAAAAAAAACAAGAAAGAATATAATTAATTAAATATAATATATGAAATATATAATTTTTCAATAATTTAAGAATCAATGTTCATAAAAAAAAAAAAAAACAAAAACAAATAATAATAATAATAAATAATAATTGTAATTGAAATTGTTTCGTTTACCTGACATATCAATGTCGAAAATAGTTTTCATGAAAGTAGGTTCCTCAGAGTCGTAAGAAAATTTATAAAAATACACGGGTAAATTGTTAAAATTTGGCAATACATTTGCCAATTCAAAAATATGATGTAAAAAATAATAATCGGATATAAATTGAACGAAATTTTCAATCGGTTGATCGTTGAATGATTTTTCATTGAAGTATAAACTTTTGAATTCGTTAATTGTAAGATTTCTTTCCTTCAATAAATTCAACAAAGGTGGTGATAATAAATTATTGAAATTAAAATTTGTCTTATCTGTCTTTTTCCTGAATTGTGCTAAATAAAAATTTAATAGAGCGTAAGTAAAAAAAAAAAAACAATAAAATAAATAAAATTTAATTAATTTCAATGGAAGATAATAAAATAAAAAAAAAAACAAGAGAAGATCCACTTACAAGAATAATCGTTATTGCCGAAAATAAAAGATCCTTCGTTATCGTTAAAACCAAATAGAAATGGTACCTTAATTCCAAATTTCATGGCTATCGTTGGTGGTTGTAATAAAAATGGATTATTTGATTTATAATCTACTCCTGGTAAAAAGGGCGTAAAGACATACATTTTTTCCTTAAATAGAAAAAAAACAAAAAACAAAAGAACAAAAATAATCATACAAGATGAAGAAATATAACATTAAAATATATAATGAAAAAGAACAAGAAATAAATTACCATTGGTGACAGGATTTTGAATTGATATCTAACGAGTTTTTCCAAGTCAATATTTTGTAGAAACTCAAGGATAGCTTTAGGATCATGAGATTTGAAACCTAACATGCTGGATAACTGATAAGCGTATCTCCTGGGTTCCACGAGCATGGATGCCCAAAAGTTTGTAGCCAAACCACTTTGTGCTATAGCCTTGTGAAATAATCCTAAAAGGGGATAAAGGAAAATAAAAAAAAAGAAAATAAAATTGACAACAAAACTGTCGGAGGGTATCAAAAACAAAAAAAAAGGGATTGCGATGAAAAGGAGATTTGAAGAGGGTACGTTGTTTAAAACGATCCCTTTTCAAAATGTTGCCCATTATATTCGAAGATCAAATGTAGATAAAAAAAAGAAATAAAAATAAAAATAAATACTAATTTCAAATACGTTTTACAAAAAGATATATATATATATATATATATATATATATACTTGTATTACTAATACCTTCTGCCATTGGTGACATTGTTAAATAATGAACTATAGCTCCACCAGCACTTTCACCAAATATAGTCACGTTCTCAGGATCTCCACCAAATACTGCAATATTATCTTTAACCCAACGTAATGCCATTACTACGTCCTTTAGGCCTTGATTACCTGGTGCAACATTATCCTCCAAATTCAGGAATCCTAAAAATAGTTTTTGTTATCTGTTGACAAATGACCATGTGTATGTATCTTGACATTCTCTAATTTTGGTCATTCACGTGTGTTAACACGTTCCCGCTGGCATGTACCAACAGTGGTACAAATGAAGGAATCAATTTTATGTGTATTTTTCCTTAATAAAAAGAAAAGAAAACAAAACAAAACAAAACAAAACAAATTTAGCATATGGACTGAATTAAAACAATACTTTAAATTTAACCAAATTTAATCTACAAAAATTTATATTAATTAAAATTGTTTATTTGCCAGTTTATTTGCCGGCGGGAACGTGTTAACATATATATATATATATATATATATATTTTTATATTCTAATGAAAATTTCAAATTACAGATAATGAAAAAGAATGATTGATTATTGATCATCTTAATATTATTGTAAGAAAAATTTGTTTCAAGATATTTTCCATGAAATATTTATTTTCTACTCACCCAAAGGACCAAATCGATAATTGATCGTGACAACGATTATATCCTTTCGAACGATATAATCTGGCCTGTACAAATTATCGTTTCCCGAACCCATATAGAAACCACCACCATGGATCCATACCATTACTGCCAATTTCGCATACAACTCAATTCTAGGTGTATAAACGTTTAAATACAAACAATCATCGCTTCCTATCATTTCATTCGTCATTCTGTCTATTTGTGCACAAACGTTACCAAATTTGCTACAATCCCTTATTCCAAACCATTCCTCGGGTGGCAATGGATCCTATTTTATGATCAATACGAAAACATGATCAAATACAATTTCCAATTTACAAATCAAAAATATTTGGATTTTGTCATTTGCAAAATTTCAACTTTGACTCAATTGAATCAAACTTTGATATATTGTTATTGAAAAACTAAAAGAACAAAATAATGAAGAGTATTCGATGATAATAAAAAAAAAGAAAAAAAATATAGAATAATTCATGATGATAAGAAAATAGAAAGATAATGCAATGAATATTTAGAAAAGTCAAAGAAATAGAACAGGAAGAAAAGATAGGCTTTATGGAACTATGATTATGTATGTTATTTTTTTATTTTGATAATTTTTACTAGTTATAGAAAAGAAGGAAAACCTTTGTAAATTAAAGTAATTTTATTAAAAAGTTTTAGTTTAATAATATTATTATATTATGTAATTTAATATTATTAATATAATATTACTATATAATATTATAATAAGGAAATATATTATTATATAAAAATATATAAAAAATATTATAATAAAATAAAAAAAAATAAAAACATTTTTATATTCAAGTAATTTTATTTTAAAGAGTTTTAGTTTAATAATATAATTAAATTATAAAATTTAATTATTATTAATATGATATTACTATATATAATATAATATTATATAATTANGATATAATAAAATAGATATTTAAAATTATATATTATTATTAAATTATATTATTATGATTAGTGAAATAGATATTTACAATAGATATTTAAAAATATACACTTAACCTTAATTATTCTATTTATTTCTAATAAATACATTTTAATAAACATATTGTATGTAATATGTTTAAGAATGATTCTAATTGTTCATATAAAAAAATGAAATAGAATTAATATTTAATTATTACACGAAATTGGTAAAGTGAATTGCAAAGTAAAAGAAAAATACATAAAAAAACATAAATAAAATGTTAATATCACGTTTGATCTTGATTAGGATTTGTTTGACCAATGACGTAAACATACGTAGTATGAAATATTCAGCATGATTTGGTAATAACCCATCTAACCTTCCATCGTTCATCGGATATGGGAAATATATCATCTGTGATATCGTTATTCCTGCAATTTAGATGTCATACTTATCGTGCAATATTCATTACTGCGCAGATACCCAAATAATATATTTATATTTTATACCATTGCTACTTTGTGTTACGTCAATGTGTTGTATAATATATTTTTTCCTTTTTTTTTTTTTTATTACTTTCCTTATTACTTTCTTATTTATCTTCTCATTTATTTTTTGGTAAAGGGAATGTAATATGGGAAAAAGGTTAGGTGTTAGGGTAGAAATATTATCAAAGTTATTTAATATATTTTATTTTGTTTTTTATACAAATAAATATATATATGTGATAAAAAAAATAAATAATATAATAATAAAAAATATAATATAATATTATTAGCAATTATTATTGATATAATAATATATATATATAAAAAAAAATGTAGGGGGGGCCTCCGGGGTAAACACCCTACAAAAATAAATTTCTTCTTCTATATTTATAAAAAAAAAAAAAAATATAATTATAATTATAAGACTTAGAAATTTTAAATATAAATATAATTTCTTTTTACGAAATTACACATTTTTCATGATATATTTAAATAATTGCTATTTAATTTGAAAATATTATTTAAATAAAAGTAATAATTAGAATAATACAAATTATTATGATATATTTAAATAATTTCTATTTAATTTTAAAATATTATAAAGATAACAGTAATAATTAAAATAATACAAATTATTATGATATGTTTAAATAATTGCTGTTTAATTTTAAAATATTATTAAAATAAAAGTAATAATTAGAATAATACAAATTATTATGATATATTTAAATAATTGCTATTTAATTTTAAAATATTATTAAAATAAAAGTAATAATTAGAATAATACAAATTATTATGATATATTTAAATAATTGCTATTTAATTTGAAAATATTATTAAAATAAAAGTAATAATTAGAATAATACAAATTATTATGATATATTTAAATAATTGCTATTTAATTTTAAAATATTATTAAA